AAGAAAAGCGTTTTGATTTTTTTCTAACCCCACTTGTGATCGGAAGAAGGTGGCTGAAAAGTGATGTGATACAGATTGCAAATCAAGACGGGAAAAAAAAAAAAAGTGGTAATAAGTCATATCATCTGGCATATCCTATCTCATTAGCAGAAGAAGGTTGGGTTATTCAAAGAGAAAAGACCTAAGAGAAATCTAAGGCCTCTCTGCAAATGTAAATATGTTTTTAGATATTGTTTAGTTCCCAGTCATGGGATCTATGGGGTCTGTGGGGGATCCTGCACAAAGCTCCCCTTTAAAGTTTGGGTTAACACCAAGTCTCCAAACATATTATATAATGATGCATTATGAATGATGCTGCGGACATTATTTTTTGCTTGTATGATGGAAGATTTTATTGACCAGATTCAATGCAATGATTTGCACTAATCCACAAGCAGATGGATATGAAAACTGCAAAATCAATGCGAGTACACGCAGATATTCTGGAGAGCTGCTGTTTTCCCTCTCTTGGCACACTCGGGGATCCTGCGGCGGAGATGCCTTCAGACTACGAAGGGGACGAGGGGCATATCAGACCACTGCGGATTTCTGTTGTGTAACTCCCAGATTTTGCTTAGAAGCAGAAGTGACTGGACAAATACGAACTGAATTTTCCCCATTGGTGTCTAGGTTTCGGGGGAAGAGTAAAATCTATTCTTTTTATTGCTATAACCGTATAGCTGCCAGCCTGAGATGAAAATTCCATGCATTTTAAAGGTGGATATTGCAGTGCCAACCCAGAAAGACAAAGGTGGTCAAAAATGTTCTTTAAAGAGGATAGTTAAAGGTCCTTATGAAGGATGCTGAGGATATACAAACGAATCAGACAAGGCTTAAGATAAAAGGGGTGCGTGTGTCACCTTCCATTCGCGCCCGTTTGCACCAGCGTAACCTCCAGCTTCACCACAGTGATCCCTGATTTACTCCTCTGTAAATGATCGCTCAGGCCCAAAATTTCTTGGGAAACCTCGCAGGTGCAAAGAGGCTACAGGAATGAAGCTTTAACACTCTGGAAAGTGATAATTGATTTCCAAAGTCGTATAATAAAGGTGAGTACAGGAGGTGGCTGCTAAAGACATTAAGTAATTAAGACGCAGTTAAAAATCAACACAAGCGTTTGCCTGTCCTGTTTTCTGAGGGAAACTTCTCATACTTCAGTGTTCAGGAATAAAATTACAGCAGTGCCTTTATGCAGAGCAAATAAGAGGCGACAGGGACAGATTTAGAGGAAGATCCAAAACAAATGAGTTCCTTGAGCACTGGTATTGCCAAATCTCAGTAAGGACAAGCGACAGCAATGCTTACCTTTGCCACGGCAGCAAGTATGATGTGCCCCACATGTGTGCGTAGGAGCAGCAATGTGTGTACCCACGTTGCGTTACATGGTCACAGAGTGACAATCCGAGGGTGACTGCCTTGCCTATGACCTGGTTTTGACCATGGTCTGGTGCACGTGGCTGAGAAAGAGAGGTCAGAGAAGCACCAGGCTGAGTTGTGGCCTCCAGATCTCCACGGGGTTTGGCCAGGCTAGTGGAGGAGCCCCTACATGAGCGGGGAGCTCGTGCCAAGGGTGACCTGTGCAAACCCTTGCACAAGAGCACGGCACAGGTCACTGCCAAGTCAATGGGAGATGTGTCCATCTCTGCCTTAGTGCTGGGTGGCCCCAGTGAGGCCTGTGTGGATGAGACTGATGACTCCTCTGGAGACGGGCAAGGTGGCCAATGGACTCGTGCTTGTGTACGAACATGTATGAGTATGTATGGGCATGTATGACTTGTGCTCATGTATGAACGGAGCGCCTTCGTGTGGGCTCTCTCACCAAGGCCTGGCCCTAGACCATCCAACTGGATTTGCAGTGGGAGTGTCCCCTACCAATGCTGATGGGCACCACACAACTCTCCTTGCACCCAGAAGCTCTGGGGAACCAAGGGAGCTCCCAGGCCACCCCAAGAGGAGATTCAGGGACAGCTCTCAGGTGGTGAAAAGGGAGCAGAGTGGCCAGAGGGGACAAGACTGGGGGTCTCCTCGTCATCACTGGTGTGCTCCATGGCCCTGCAGAGCTCCTAGACCCACAGAGACCTCCTGCATGTGCAGAGACGGGCAGGAGTTGTGGGGCCCAGGAGGGGGGACAGGCCTGGCCTCCCTGCCCAGGGAGCAGGAGGGCGGCCCACAGGTTTCGGGGACATCAGGACACAGCATTGATTTTTATAATCCACGAGCGAGGGGCTAATCCCTCTAAGGAGGGCATCGGTGCTCGACCCGGGGGCTGTTGTTGTCGCTGGGTTGGGGCGGTTTTTTAGGTTTTATTTTCCTTTCTGTCGCTTCTGCAGTGCTCCCGGTGGCAACGATGGGGGGGAAGGAAGGATTCTCGGTCCCCTCCCGCCGGGAATCGCTGCTCTTTCCCCTCCCTCTCCTCCTCCCCAGGCAGAATTTGGGGCATAGAAGGCGCGCGGGGCGGCGCTGCCTGCGCGGGCGCGGAGCTGCCGCGCTGAGACTGAGCAGAACCTCCGCGCCCAGCTCTGCTTTCCCTCACCTCTAATTTGAGAGGAGGGTGATTCCCAGCTTGCAACTTTTCTTGATTTCTGCCTCTCCCCCCCGCTCCCAAGCAGCCTCCAGTCCCCGTGCCCCAACCCCTCCCACCCCCCTGCATTTATTACTTGCATTTAATTAATTCCTTCTTTGCGTTTCCTTTCCTGCTAATCTTTGGGTGACTGCTTTGTACATATGGCAATCTGATAATGAGGGGGGGTTATCCTTATTCTCCGCACTTCTTCACTGCAATGTCCACCCGCCTAGGGGCTCCTATATCGATCATCTTTCCCCGGGGAGGGGGACAAGGTAAGGAGGGGATGATAAAAGATTTGCAGGATCCCACACCATTAAGAAGCGCTTTTATTCCCTGGCACTGTTTAATCAACTGTTATATCAAGTCATGCTGTTTAAGCAACCACATCAAAAGAACATGCCCTCTTTTGTATAAATTATATATTCCTTGTATCTGTCTCCTCACATGCACACAGACAGGGAGATAAAACTTAAGTTTGTTTTTTAATGGTATGAAGCAGGTATTTAGCTGTTATACAACTTGTTTCTTCAGCTAAGTTGGTTGATAAAAGCCTAGAAGACAAGTTGCTGCCTTTGCAGCTTTCCCCCATCCTCAAGTTAAAGCGGCTACATTTAAAGTTAGGAAAGGCAAATCAGAGATGCAGTAAAACTCTCTAAAGCAACATAAATAACACAAGAAAAGGATACATTAAAGAAGAGGGAAAAGTACAGGTTAAAATCGGTCAGAGGGCTGTAGACCACTTCTTTCGGCTTTTCTTTTTTTTTTCCCCTTTTCTTTTTTCTGAAGTTGATGTAAAAAGATCACTTTGTTCCTTGAAACTCCGTGTTGTTCTGCTCGTTACAGTCCACGGATATACAACTTTTTTTACCACTTAAAAACTAATTTTAAAGTCCATTTTCACATGGTTTAAGTTGATTACGACTCCACTGTGTCACAGACCGGAAAACTCTCATATAATTGCTTGTCCCAAAGAGGTTTTTTTCCTTACATAAAGCTGATTTTTTTGTTGTTGTTGTTTTTCTCTGAGAGTGGACTTTGAATTTCTTCAGCATGTCGCCTTGGCGTTTTTAAGAACTCTTAAAAAAAAAAAAAAAAAAGAAAAAAAAACTCTTAAAAGTTCCTAGATTCTAGGACAAATTGCATTTTCTTGGGAGCAAAAGTAAACGAGCTCTTTGGAGGAACAGAAGTGTTTGTTCATATGGGACTCTGCTTTTCTGCCCAACCTGCTCTATCAGCCCCATCTCTGCAGTTTTGCTCGTCTCTCAACACCTTTGTCTGACGAGGAGCTTTCGGAGATCGGGATAAAGACATCACTTGCCACGCTGCACAAGATAACAATTAATTTAACATTAAACTTATCCCCTTTCCATTCACTTTGCCCGGATCGATCTCTGTTAATTGTGTTTGCGGATGCTTTCAGCGCGACGCTTTTCTCCCAAAACTTAAGGACATCCCGCGAGGAGGTGTAAGAGCCTAAAACGCTTCCCCCTAGGCAGGAACAAAGAATGTAGCAAGCAGGAATATAGCAATTCCCCCCGCACGCCCGGGAGAGCATCTAGACTGAATCAGGTGACTTCTCAGGCACTTCTTAACAGACACCAATATTGGGAGCTGGGCAATAGTTCGGGTTCAAAAAAGAAAAAAATCACGCTAACTTCCTAACACTGCCAGCTCCGACCACACTTAGTTTTTTTCCCTCCCTTAAAGCAGCCCTTTATCAGCTAAAAGGCGAGGGCGTTTGGAAACGCAGGTCTCTAGGAGGGAGCAATGTCCCTCTGCAGTGGGGAGAAACCTGTTAGGAAGCCACTTAGGTGGGTTCATTCTTACATGGGTGCCCCCCATCTCACCCCCCACCTCGGACTTTCATATTCCCCCCCCCCCCCCCCCCCCCCCCCACCCCCCCCCCCCCCCCCCCCCCCCGTTTTTTTTTTTCCCCCCCCCCCCCCCCAAATCTACCCGGCTACTGATAATGCCCCAATTTATTTAGTTGCAACTGCCCTTAGAAACTCGACTTGCACTGAGGTAGCCTGCTAATCTTTCCTTTTTTTATTATTGTTATTCCCTCCGCAGAGGCATCTGTTACTCTTGCTGACAAATGTACCCTTCTGCCAAGAAAAGTTTAAAAAAAAAAAAAAGAAAGAAAAAGAAAGAAAGAAAAAACAGCGTGTAATTGATGTTATCCCAAGAAAGCGCAATCCCCACCCCTTTCAGCTCCAAGCCCTTCAGGTAAAAGGAGGGAAAAAAAATCTTTCAAGAATTTGTTGCCTTTTTGAGGGTTAAAACATCAGAAGAGGAGCTTGTCTCGCCTTGGCCAATCAGCACTCGGCCCTGGCAGCTATAATATAGAACTAAAGGCAGACTCCTCTCACAAGCGTCTTGCTTTGCTACCATTAAAATCAGACCCTTTTTTTTGTCTCTCGATCGCTGTCTCGCGACCAAACTCCGATGTGTTCCGTTATCAGCGACCTAAAGGCTGCCATTCCAGCACCTGTCTTGCTAGGGATCGGTGGATAGTACACGATTCAGAAAGCAGACAAGGACATAGGAGGCGAGAGAGCTCTAGAGAGACAGCCAGGGATAGGCACAGAGAGCTTTGAAGTAATTGGATTCAATGGACGAAATGCTGCTGTTGACAAGAATTCTCTTGGTGGGCTTCGTCTGCGCTCTTTTAGTCTCCTCTGGGCTGACTTGTGGACCAGGCAGGGGCATTGGAAAAAGGAGGCACCCCAAAAAGCTGACCCCTTTAGCCTATAAGCAGTTTATTCCCAATGTGGCAGAGAAGACCCTAGGGGCCAGTGGAAGATATGAAGGGAAGATCACAAGAAACTCCGAGAGATTTAAAGAACTAACCCCAAATTACAACCCTGACATTATTTTTAAGGATGAAGAGAACACGGGAGCTGACAGACTGATGACTCAGGTAGAGCCACGGAGATACCTGTATTTGTGTTTGTTAACCTCTCTGAACAACCCTAAAGGACGCATCTGTCTTAGTATTTTTGAGAGATCCCCCTTTCCCTCTCCCCCTCCTCCTCCTGCCCCCCAAACTCGGCTAGTTCCCCCATTGAATGTAAATCCCCACAAGTTCGCAGGGGCTGGAGCTATCTATCTATATCTGTATCTCTATCTATGTATTTGGTGGGGGAATCTGTGTAATACTTACAGTCATAACCGTGCCATGGCGTTCCCTGTAACTTGGCTAGCGATTGCTGTTTGCGTTTGTCCCCAAGGATGCACTTTGATCAAACGAATTGCGGGCAGCTCAGAGGACCCCGAGTGCACGGCGACCGCCAGGCCACTCACTCCTTGTTACCAGCGTGGTCCTCGGGTGATGCAGCTGCTGACTTTATATTTGATTTGCTCTCTCTTTCTCTTTCTCTCTCTCTCTTTTTTTTTTTTTTTTTTTCCCCGCATTTCATTTTCGCCTTCATTATTACTATGATTCTTTTCCTCGCGAGCATATTCTAAATTTAGTAGGCATGCAGTCGCGCACTCACAAAAGGCAGCTGAAGCCGGATCGACCCTTCCTCTCCTGATTCCGTATTATATAGCTCGTATTGCAATACCGTCATTTGCGATTGTGCCCGTCAGAGCGTAAATATATTGATATTTCTTTAAGGATGCTCGCCGCCAGTGCTCTGGTACTTCCATAGGGGAGGGACTTGCAACTTATCAGCATTGCATCACCTTCTGCTTTAAAAAATCTGATGGCACAAGGTTTTACAACTGGGTAAATATTGGATTTCGGGTGGAATCGGATTGCGGAACCATTTTATGCATAAAAAAAATAAGGAAAGAAATAGAGGAAAGGAAAAGAAACCCTCTCAGAGAGTCACCTCGTAATGATTATTCATGCTCACCAGAGAGCTCGGGGAAGTCAATTGCTCTGCCAATCCCGGAGTTTCTGAAACTACATGCAATCTAGCCACTGGAAATGGGTTTCCTCCAAATATAGGTCAACGGCGCTTTTTTAATATTAATACATTTAAGCCCCACCTCGCCGGGAAGGACTAGGCGGAGAGTGGGGCCGGGGGGCCGGGGGGGCGGGGGGGGCGTTGGGAATTTCCCAAACTCTCCCCGCTGTCTCGGCCTCGGCGTCGCGGGGGTCGCGGGGAGCCGGCGCCGCCGCCACCATCTCCTCCGACCACCTTAAATCTGCGCCTTCCTCGGAGCGGCGCCTGGGCCGGCGAGTCGCGCCTGTCGCCGCCGCCTGCGCGGGCGCGGAGGCTTCTCCGCGGGGCCCCGCGCGCAGCCCCGCGGCTCGGGGCCAGACTCGCGTTTTCAGCTCCACTTAACTCCTCGCGGGTATCGATCGCGCCGCGGCTCGGGTTGCAGCGCCGTGTCCTCTGCAGCCGCCGCGCGCCGGGGCGGCCGCAGCCCTGCGCGGGTGCGCGGGGAGAAGCGGCGGCGGCGCCAGGTGGGAGCGCGGCGCTGCGCGGCGCTGCGCGGGGAGCGGAGTCTTTGCGCGGCTCTGCGCGGGGAGCGCGGCCCTTGCGCGGCTCTGCGCGGGGAGCGGAGTCTGCGCCCCGCCGCGTAGGGAGAGGGACCCTTGCGGGGCGCTGCGCAGGGCGCGGAGTCTTTGCGCGGCGCAGCGTGGGGAGCGAGGCCCTTGCGCGGCGCTGCGCCGGCCGCGTTAGGCGGCAGCGTGTGAACTTGTGACCTTCTGTCAACTTCCCTCAGCCGCACGGAACGAAAACAAATACTTTTTTTTTTATCTTTTTTTTTTTCCCCTTCCTCCAGTGCCTGTCGCCGTCCCCACAAAGGGTGAGGCGCAGAGGCCCGTCGGGGACCCCGGGCGACAAGGGGACAGCAAGGTCGGCGCGCGGGCTCCGCAGCCCCGAGGCCGCGGAGAGGGGCGCGCGGCTCCCTCGGCTGCACCGCCGCCTTTGCGCGCCCGCTGCGCCGGCCCCTCGAGCACGGAGGGATCCTTCCCTCCCGCGGGTTGTTAAACGCGCGGAGTAGCTGCCGGATGCATTAGTCGCTGGTTAATATTAACTTTTTGGGGCAGAAAAAAAAAAAGCCCTGCAAACATTGCTCGGTAAGTCAGGTTCTCCACCTTGCAGGTGACAAGAGCAGTTTGCTAAGGGCTCCCCCTTCCTCCCCCTCGGGCCGGCCATTGGCTGGATCTGGGGCACAGATAAGGAGGCCGGGGCACTATGATAAAGCTGGAATTTGTATGGAATAAAACAGCCCCGGCGCGTAATGCCGGCACACCGGCGGTGCGCGCTGAGAGGAATTTAGGGATCAGCTTGGCATTTAGGAAGCCCACCAGGTTGTTTACACTGACAGGTACCTGTTAAGTGTTTCCTTCAAGCAATTCATTTGTGAGGAGATTAGGAGCTGGCAGGAGAGGGCTTGTTGAACAGCTCTGCCTCCGCACAAAGCGCGAGCGCGGGCAGCCCTGCTGAGCTTCACGGTGGCTGAGCAGAATTGGGCTTGATTTGTGGCACACGACCCGATGAATTAATAAATAGTCTGGGCTTCACGGCTTTTGACTCTGACAATCCCGCTCAGCCGGTATAAAGGAGAGGAAAGTGCTTTAGGAGGCCGGTTCTCTCCCTTTTCTCCTGCCCCCGCGCCCTCCCCGCTGCCTCTTTCCCCAGTGGCAACGCGGCCGCGCTGGAAATTGCGCTGCAGCGCTGGGCTTTGCTCGTAGCAGCAGCTGAGGCGCCTGCTGCTTCGCCCCTCTGCCCCTAAAGCGGCGTTATTTACGTGCAGACGGGGGGAATTATCTATTTACAGACTCGACTTCCTTATGCCGTGCGGCTTTCCTGCCGGGAACTTCGGTGCTGCAACGCGAACACTTTCCATAAAGCCCTGGAGCCGCCACAGGCTGCAGGCCGCGGAGTCCAAAGGGACCTGGCGATTGCTTTATGTGTATGTGTGTGTATATATGTATGGATATCTCTATATGTATCAATAGGATGGCGCTTTATGGCTGCTCTGCGGGGACGGGGGTTGGAGCGACCTTGTCGCAGCCCTGGAGCTGTGGGGCTAACGAGAGGGTCTCGCCCTCTCCGGAGCTCCGAGAAGCTGGGGGTCCCCCAAATCCTGGGGCTCGTTTTGCCCAGGGATGACCTGGGGAGGGGGACACTAGTCCTGCAGAAGGCCAAGTCAGGGAGCAGCGAAGGGAGGGCAGCAGCACCTCGCTGCACCTTGCTGCAGCTTTGCTCCGCGCTGGTATTTTTCAGCTGCATCAAATGAGCTGTTTCTTGTGTATCCCGGGGTTATTTTCCTCTCAGGATAGCAGGGAAGGGAAGCTAGGAACGTGTATTTTTCTGACTATACCCCCCAGACATTCGGTGTTCACCCCCTATATCGGGACCCCTGTGAGTTGTGTGTCCTTTCTCTCCTGCAACCTGTGTGTCTCCAAGGAGACCTGATTTCTTCTCGAGATGCGAATAACCGCAAAGTTTTGGGATTTTATTTAGAGCTCTCCTCTTCGCATGACTTCGGCTTCCCCTTTTCCTGCCCGGGTCTGTCCCACCTCCCACTCTTTAATTCGTCCAAAGCTCTTAGAAGCCCCTCACCCAGCAGAGCCTGGTGGTGAGAGGTGCATCCGAGCTCTAAGCAAAGCTGGGGAGCAGGCCGAGAGGAAGGAAAACCCTGTGGGGTGTTTCCCGTGGAGTTTCTCTCCCTGTAAGGCTCCCCAAACCCGCACAGTCTCCAGCCCCGCTAACTCGGTCCTCCCTCGCTTTTCCTCTGTCCCTCGAGAGCTACATTAAGCAGGGAACATTCGCAGGGTGGGGATGAGGGACACACCGAGGGTGCCTGTTCTGCTCCGCTCCAGGAAGGGCCCGGCCCTACTTGGGCTCTGCAGCTGCCGCCCCACAGCTGTTTATGGGGGTGTTGGCGGGGGGAACCCCCCGTTCCCCCAGGCAGGTGCCCGTGGCGAGGGCGGCTCCGCTGCCGGGGAGATTTGCGGCCCCTGGTTTCGCCCTCCTCCTCCTCACCTTCCTCCCCTCCTACCCTCCGCACCCTCGTAGAAGATGCCTGGGCTGTGGGGGGGAGATAGTTGTTGGAGGGCGGAGGGTGCTGGGGTCCCCCGTCGGGAACGGGGTGCCGGGGGTCACCGCAGACCCCCCCGCAACACCCTGTCCATGCGTGTCCCCGCAGCGCTGCAAGGACAAGCTCAACGCGCTGGCCATCTCCGTGATGAACCAGTGGCCCGGGGTGAAGCTGCGGGTCACCGAGGGCTGGGACGAGGACGGCCACCACTCCGAGGAGTCGCTGCACTACGAGGGCCGCGCCGTGGACATCACCACGTCGGACCGCGACCGCAGCAAGTACGGCATGTTGGCCCGCCTCGCCGTCGAGGCCGGCTTCGACTGGGTCTACTACGAGTCCAAGGCGCACATCCATTGCTCCGTGAAAGCAGGTAAGGAGCGACGGGCCCCTCGAAAGCACCGCGCGCCCCCCGCGTCCCGGCCCTGCTCCCCGCCGGCCCTGCCCGCCCCGTCCGCGCGCGTCCTGCCCCTCCGCCGGGGAGCGTCGGGAGCGGAGGGAGAGGGGAAGGAAAGGGAGAGAGATGAAAGAGATAGGAGGAGAGGGAAAGAAAAGAAAAGAAAAGAAAAGAAAAGAAAAGAAAAGAAAAGAAAAGAAAAGAAAAGAAAAGAAAAGAAAAGAAAAGAAAAGAAAAGAAAAGANAAAGAAAAGAAAAGAAAAGAAAAGAAAAGAAAAGAAAAGAAAAGAAAAGAAAAGAAAAGAAAAGAAAAGAAAAGAAAAGAAAAGAAAAGAAAAGAAAAAAAGGAGGTAGGATAGGTCGCCTCCCTTGCGCCCGCTAAGCCAGGAGCCAGCGCGGGCCGGGAAAATAAATAAATACCGCGCTGCCTGCGCCCCCGGCAGCCGCTAGGAAATTCCCAGATACAGATAGACAGAGAGAAGATATTTCCCCCCTTCCCCTGCCCTGTGCTTACAACGCCACACGCTGTCTCAACCCGGGAACAGCTCGCTCGTGAGAAAGCGCCAACGTGCAGAGCTCTTTTTTTTTTTTTTTTTCCTGGCCCAACTTGACACTTTATTTATTTATTTTATTTTATTTTATTTTATTTATTTATTTATTAGGCAAAACCCTTGGCGAGGGCCAGCCGGGCTTCCCTGCCTCCCGCATGTTTGCTGCACGGCTGCTAACCCTTATTTCAACAGCAGCTTTTTTTAGCAAAGTCATGTTGCCTTTCCTTGCCACAAATGGCAAGGAAACACTTGGCTGCAAAAGAAAATAACGAGCTCACTCTAAATATACCCATTTTCCTTGAAACCAGTAGCCCTGCATCAGTGAAACCAGCGGTGGGGCCTTACCCTGCCTGTTTACAACAAGAGCCCCATCCTTCCTTTGCCTTCTCTTCCCTACCCTTCCCTTTCCTTCCCTTTCCCAGGATCTAGCCTGGAGCTACCCAGGGTAGCACCTCTCCTGCCCCACATTGACTTTATCCTAGGATCCCAATACTACTTTTATTAAGTCTTCCCCGTCCTTCCCAGCTCCAAAGGAGGTTCTGCAAAGCCAACAAACTTGCAGTGATACCAAACATCCCTTTCAATACCAAGGCCAGGCTTTAGCTCAAGGTGTCTGACTGATGCACAAAAACCTTCTTGTGGGCGGACAACATAATCCAGCTCTATGTGTCTTGAACGGGATAGGAGTAATTCCAATCTACTCATTGAAATTCCGCACACACGGACTTCAGGGGTAATATTTAGTGCATGTCAGGCAGGGTCGTGTGACTGTACCAGGCGGGTTTCAAGAGAGCAGGCTCAAATTCCCCCGGCTCAGCCTGACTTCAAATTGGCCAACCCTCGTTTCATGACAGAGCATCTTATGAGAAGATTAAACCCTATAATTCCAGGCAGGAAGATTCTTTATCTAGATCTCTATTTGCAAAAAGTATGATCCCGGCGACTGGAATGCAGGGAAGAGTTCCCCCAAGGCCTGAATTATTGTCATCGGGACAGAGGAGGGAGAGGCAGGGGTGGTAAAAGGGACATTGATAATGCGCTACAGCGAGTATTTAGAGCAAGCTTCTACATTTAAAATTCAAATACACATCTTGAGTGCCTTGGAAAAGTGGCTCTGCTGTGCAAATAGTGCTTGGAAGGTCCTGGGTTTTTTGGAGAGTATGTGTGTGAATTGGCACATAGGGTTTCTGCACCTGAACAAATAGGGAGGGGGAGAACAGGGGGGCAAAGAAGCTGGGAAAAAAATGGAAGTGTCCTCTCTTCCAAGAGTGTCTGCATTTATTACAAGAATCAGAATGACAATGCTGATCCTTTATTGGATTTTAATTAGAGAACCCAAACAAGCACTGCTCAAAGCAGCAGATTTTCACACCTCTGCCAATTCACTGGCATGTTTGTAGAGCTGCTACACTACTAGATCTATTCATCAAGCCCCTGAATATGCAAACAAAGCTCAAGCCAGCCCTTTGCTTGGGGCTTGTCCGAAGGTGTAGTTTGCTGGTGAGGGGCTCCGCATAAAGCACATAGCTTGTTTGTTGCCATGTCCTCCCTGAAGAGGCCGGCAAGATCTGGCTGTTGCAGTTCTGCGGGAGAAGTGATAAAGTCGTTAGCAAATCAATAACGTTCTAATTTTCGCCCTTCCTGCCCTTCCTGAGCAAGTCATTAGGAGACACTCCAAGTGTTTATTTAAATCATAATAGCTGCAGGACCAGCCACAGAGGCAAAATATAAAACCTGACTGCCGTGAGGAGATAAATTGCTAGGGCCCTAAACCGGCAGGCAGAGGAACAGGGAGAGGCCAAGCGAAGGCCAGGGAGGGATCCTAGTCCTAGTGACTGTAGCAAAGATGCAGGATGCCATGAAATACCATGGGCTATAACCTGACAGGCAGAAAAAGGGGGAAAAGGGAACAAGCAGGATTCCCTAGGGGAAGCAACTCTAGGAAATGGCAATGATCCTTTCTAATCAAAACACAGGCAAACAGATGAAATGTAGGCGAACCTACATTTCCATAGGGAATGCACAATAGATTTAGGCTATGGAAGTCCTGTGGCCTTATGAGCTTTAGAAGTTCTGCCATTTAGGAGCTCCAGCAACTTTGCATTTGTTGTGCTAAAGGATGCTCAGGCCTGATGCAGTCACGAGGCACCTGCTCCGAGCAGGATGGGAGAAGTGCAGGAGATGGTTTTATAGGGAGCAGGAAGATGGTGCGGGTTGGAACAGCCACTGTGCAGGCTGCCGTAGGCTGTTTTCCCAGGGAAAGGGAAGCCTTGTTCCTGCACAACTTTTCCGCTTCCTCGGTGAGTTAATCTAGTGCCATGTGTCAGACGCAGGACAAATGGGGACCGACTGACGAGTTATTCTGGAATAGCCCTGGAATAGCTGGGCTATTGTGCTCGGTTCCCTTATGGGGTCAGGTCATGGCCATCATTTGACGGGAGGACACCGGTGGGAAGGCCTGAGGAACATTTTGGGGTCAGCATGGTGGGGCCAGGCGGGCAGCCCGGTGCTAACACCCTGTGCCTCTCTCCTTGCACAGAGAACTCGGTGGCGGCCAAGTCCGGCGGCTGCTTCCCTGGCTCGGCCGTGGTGCACCTGGAGCATGGCGGCACCAAGCTGGTGAAGGACCTGAGCCCCGGGGACCGCGTGCTGGCGGCCGACGCGCAGGGCCGCCTGCTCTACAGCGACTTCCTGGCCTTCCTGGACCGCGAGGACGGCTCGCCCAAGCTCTTCTACGCCATCGAGACGCGGCAGCCGCCGGCGCGGCTGCTGCTCACGGCCGCCCACCTGCTCTTCGTGGCACCCCAGCACAACGGGTCGGAGGCGGCGGCGGCGCCGCGGAGCCGGGCGCTCTTTGCGAGCCGCGTGCGGCCCGGCCAGCGCGTCTACGTGCTGGGCGAGGGCGGGCGGCGCCTGCTGCCGGCCGCTGTGCACCGCGTGCAGCTGCAGGAGGAGGCGTCGGGCGCCTACGCGCCGCTCACCGCCCAGGGCACCATCCTCATCGACCGCGTGCTGGCCTCCTGCTACGCCGTCATCGAGGAGCACGGCTGGGCCCACTGGGCCTTCGCGCCCTTCCGCCTGGCCCACGGGCTGCTGGCCGCGCTGGGCCCCGCGGCGGCCGCCGCCGAGCCGCCCGCCGCCGGCCTCCACTGGTACTCGCGCCTCCTCTACCACATCGGCAGCTGGGTGCTGGAGAGCGACGCGCTGCACCCGCTGGGCATGGCGGCGCCCGCCAGCTGAGAGCGCCGCGGGGCGCCCGGCACCCCCACGCACCCCGCTCCCAAAGGAGGAACCAGACAGCAAAGAGGGAGAAAACAACAACAAGAAGAAAAGAACCCCACGAGCGTCCCAGAGCGAGCGCGGATGATGGAGACTCAAAGATAATAATAATAAAATAATAATAATAAAGTAGGACAGTCCAAAGTAGACTTTAAGGGAGACAAAGACCCCGGGAAGTTCCGTTCTGTTTAGTTTATAAATATATATATATTTTTATTTGTTCTTCTGTTTCGTCGTTTCGTTTGTTGGGTTTTTTTTGTTTGTTTTATTGTTTTTTGTTGTTTTATTTTTTTTTCTCCTCTCCTGGATATTTATTTCTTTTGGTATTTTGAATAGATGTTTTAAATGATATGAACCGGACCTTCAAGAGCCTTAAATAGTTTTTCTTTGATAATTTATTATCATGTGAACTGTACTCACAGGGGAAAAAAAAAAATATTTTGTGAGGCCAAGCGAAACTGCGCAGAGTCTATTTTTCTACATGTCACGTGTGTCCTGACTTTCAGAAAGCAAAATTCTGTACTTTCCCATCTCTCCATTACATTGCTCCTGCATTCCTGCAAGCCTAAAACAAACGAGCAAACACAAAAGACAAACTTCATGGGGGTCCGTAAATTATATTTTTATACACAGAATTGTAAATTAGATTTTTTTGAGAGATCAATACTTAACTGAATCACATTTCGTTTTTTGAAATAGTGTAAAATATGAGAATATATTATTTTAATTTAAATAGTTTCAAATGTAACGTCATTTCCTGTATTGTTTTCCATGTCTCTTAAATATTTTGCTTTGTAAAAACACCATTTGGCCACGTTCATGGAAGTCAAGACTGTTACACAAACTTTTTATTTGCAAAAACAGCAAGAAACTTTGTTATTTTTAACTTCAAAAAATTTATTAGAAAATAATATTTTTTAAAAAGCGCACACGGCGGCAGTTCTGTGACGATGGAGATGGTAGTTTGTACAGAGGAGAGAAAAGGATGTTTTGCATTAATAAATTGAGAAATAACTGCTGTAAATTTACTAAAATGTATTTTTGAATATTTTGTAATAGTTTTAATAGTTTTATAGAAATAAAATGTGCCATGCACAGTCTGGTTAGTATATAATAACTAAGAGTTCCTGGTGCATCCCATTTTTTCTTTTTTTTTCTTCTTTTTCCTTTTTCCTTTTTCTTTTTTTTTTTTTCTATTTTGCATATTGGTTTATGAAGCAGAATACCTGAAGGAGTGCCCGTGATTTCCTTTTAGATGTGTTGCTTTGTGACTTTTGGTTTTGGTACTTTAGTGAGTAGACGAGTGCGTCGCATCTGCTTTTAATGGCAAACGTGTTGTACTAACAGTAGAACCTCACTCATTCGCACTAACAACTGTAAGGAGCGTCCTGCAGCGCCCGGACTGGGATCTGGCCTCACGTCCTCGGTGCCCACCATAAGGTCCATGCAGAAGTCTCTTCATCGATTCCTGTAGGCCCAAAATTGTCTTTGCCCTTGGAAGCAGCCCATGCCAGTGGCTGCATTCCCATGGCGATGTCTCGGCATTTTCTGTTAGCTCCTAGTGGTGCAAATCTGGTCAAATGGCACCGAATTTGCTGAGTTTGTACTGCCGGTGCTGGATTTTGCTGGATGACTTGATTGCAGACGTAGCTTTTGAAATAGTGGAGAAAAAAGCGAGGCACCCTCAAAAATAAAAAAAAAACTAAAAGCACAGTATATTGCCAAAAAAGGGCCACAAAGTTTGCTCATTTATTCCAAGAAATGTTGCTTAGTTGTAACACACCAGAGTCCATCCCGAGATACCTACTAATGCATGTCTTGGAGATGTGTTTTGGTGTCTTGGAAGCCCTGGTGACCTCCTGGCCCCTTTGCAGGACTCTGCTTGCTGGAGTCGGTTGCAGGTGCCCATCAGTGAGGTTCTGCCGTGCTCTGTTATCTCTCCTTTCTCCTCTGCCCTAAATGGGATCTTCCCCTTCTTTCTTTCTTTCTTTTTCTTTTTTTTTTTTTTTTTTTTAAAAAAGAAAAAGAGTTTGCAAAATATTGTTGTGCACGTGTCTGAGACAGGACCGTGATGGAAGGGAGCTTTCCTTGAATGTCTTCTCACGTTCTTCTTGGCCTCCACTGTCCACTCGTGTAGGATGCTTGTCCAGTTGGCTCCATGGCTCTACCACACTGGGAGGGTGGCTCGGTGTTGCCTGGGCCTCCCACTGCCACGTCTCGCCCTGGGTCTTTGACCTCATGGCCACCACCAGTTCCCAGCTCCCGGCGTGACCCTCCCTCCTCGAAGCCTGGGAGATACTGGAGTGGTGAGAGGAGACCGCAGCCCTGGCCGAGCAGGCGCCCACGTGGAACCCCACTGGATGGAGCAGCCTTGTGAAGGGATGGCCTGTGGGGCCGTGTGTGTAGGGTTGTGCATGAAGGCGGTGGCGATTGTATTGGATGTTTCACGGGCATGTAAAAATGTGATCTCCAAACCAATGAGTCTCTGAATTTTTAAAACTTTATCCTTAATGTGGCAATGTCTGGGCATCTAAGCTCTCTTACTTGTGTCTCTGAACAGTAGTTGGTGTTTTATAAGGCCTTTAGTGTCAGAAAATCTCAATGTCAAAGCTCACCTCCTTCAGAGCTCACCTGGTAGAAGTCTTTAGAGATGTCTGCAATTCAACTTAAGACCTTGTTCTCAGGGGGCCTCAGTCTAGCTCATAGCTGAGATGAGAAAGAGCTACTAGATCAGAGCCCACGCTTTTGAAAGGTAGGATATATCCACCAGTAGAGACCCCAGCCTAGCAGCCATTGCTGCATTTATGGTAACCCAAAGGCCAAGATGAGCTCAGAGCTTTGCAGCAGAGGGGAACTCAGATGCTGTCTTCTACCGATGTCGACCTGTTCTGCCAAGTACGGAAATGCTGTGCTCTGTTCCTCATTGCACGTGTTTCTGATGACTATACGCCTCCCTCTCACCATATACTTGTTACATCTCTTGCTGATACCTTCAGCTTGTCATGGCTGGACCACCCCTCCATTGTAGGCGTTAGAAGTGCTTTGTTAGACGGACCAGTACAACCTATAGCTACAGCTTTCGTATGAAAGATCTACTGTCATAACCTTGTGCAAAGAGCCTAGGCGATGTCACAGTCCATTTTTCAGGGTCCAAGTATGGCAATAGTTTGTATAAAATGTACACATAGTGGTGGCTACAGAATAGTTTATGACTAAATACATATCTATTACTGTTAAAATACTGTATAAGAATGTACTTGAAGCTATTATCCTTGTGCTCTGTTGTCTGAATAATTAAAGAAATTACAGAGACTTCCTGAAATGTCTGTTATGTGGCAGCATTCCTATCACATACTTTCAGTACTTTAGTGTTTCCCCCCGTCCTGTGGTATTTAAAGCGGGATTTTGGTAGCTAGCATGCTGCCCAGCTCTGTAAGGTGGCTCAGGAGGCACAAGCCAGGCAGGAATTCTGCATGTGCCTCTTTGGGTGCTGGTCGGTGCCTCCTGCTCCCACTTTCAAGGCCGTGCAGGTCAAGTGTTATTTATGTGTGAAATACTAAGTGGATGTGCAAAGAAAACTAATTTGTCAGTGTTTTTGGGAGAGAAAGGGATGACTTGAATGTTGGGTGTCAGAAGTGCTCCCCAGCCTCCCCCAATCAAAGCCAAAGTGAGAAGAGACTCTAATGAGTCTGGCACTTTTTACATGCTTATTTTTAGCTAATCTGACTAGCTGGCCACACAGTGCACAAACCAAAACATTTGTGTGTCAGGTGAACCAGCTGAGAAGAAGTTTGGCTATGCCAAAAAAAGATGGTTACAACATAGGGCAACTTCAATCCAAGCCAAGCACTAAAGGAGACTGTGTGTCTCAGGTCCTGGGCGCCAGATTGTCATAGATAACAGTTTGCTTAGCTCTATCTTTTTATATCTGTGTGTACATATTTGTGCATACATGCATATATATGTATTATGAATATGTATATGTGTATATATGCACATACATAATATTGCAACCTACATATGAAGAGCTCAGTGTATCTTGCTGGGGTGTAAATGTGTTTGCACTGGCCTTCCCGGACATTTCACATCATATTAAAGTTTAAGAGGCTGATTTAAGTCAGCTGAGTTTGGTGATAATTGGACAGCAATTTTGCAGCTCCAGTATGACATATATTTCAATTACAGGGGAAGGAAATCAGAGCGAGCATTTTATTTTACTCATTACTGCAAGCCATAAGGGACCATTAGATTTCCCAAGCTCTTGGAGGTTTTGAAATTCTCTCTTCAGCAGTTTCTGCCTCATAACCTGTGTAAATTTCACCCTCAAAAGCTCAGTTTTCCACACACAGAATATTTTTGAGTTTTCAGTGGAGCAGTGTTAATGTGCTGCTTGGCCTATGCAGGATGAAATGAAAAAACAATAGATTTTTAAAAAGCAAATCTTTAAAAACAATGAGATGTTCCCAGATGCTGGTGGGAGCAGGATGAGGCCCACAGACATTTTTTATGCTGAAAATTTTAAGTACAATCTTTGATAGCTTGCATTTGGGGTGCACTTAAATAATTTTGTTTTTCTGGACTAACTGTTTAAAAAAAAAAAAAAAGAGAGCAAATCCAGGAACTTTGAGTTTAATAATCCAATCCTGGTTCCAGTAAAATTAGGGAGATACCTCTAAAATTCCCAGAGACAGAAATAATAGAGTATTTAAGAGATCACGACTTCAGAATTCAGGACTTGGTGGGGCCTGCTCAGCTCTGCCTCTGCTGCTCCAGCCTGCTCCTTACAGACGCAGCAGCAGTGGTGTTTGCCAAGGGACATTACTTGCCCAGCTGGCCTTCTTCTCTGCAAGTCAGTCCCATCCTCATTCCTACAGCACTAAGCACTGCTTTTAATTATGAGACTGTGATGAAGGAAAGTAAATGTTAGTCTCAGGATTGCTCATGAACAACCCTCCTGGAATAATAGTGCCTGGTCTTGGTGCAAGCTTTGCTGGTTTGACCAAATGAAGCCCTTTCTACTCTACGGGGTTTTCTTAGAAACAGGAACGTAATAAATGTGCAATATTGAACAAGTCTGTTCTGGCACAGTGTTTGTGTGAATAAGCGTTTGTGCTCAAGCTAGTGGAACCTATGGGATTCACACGCATCAGAAAGTCCATCTGCCACTCAAATATTTGCAAATACTGAGTCATGTGGCCCCACAAATAACAACAAGCCATCCTGGTTGCTTTCATTGAGG